AATAAGATAACAAAATTTTATTTTTAAACTTCTCAAATTTGATTAATTATATTGATATCTTATTTAATTCAAATTCTATTCTTTCCATTAAGAAATATAATTTTATTAATAAATTTTTTAATTGACTTTATGATTTTGATAGGTTTAAAAAATAAAAATAAATTATTATTATTTATAAATATTTAATTTATTAGATCTACGTTTCTATATTCTATTCGCTTATAAAGCCATAATTTATCTTACTAAAAGAAAATTATAGTTGAAAGTTATTAATCAAAATTAGATTAGTTTCTTATTCTATTGTTAAAGCATATTTATTTACTAAAAGAAATTATAGTGAAAGTTATTAACAAAATATGTAAGTTAATTATAAAACATAAAATAAAAAGTATATGATGATTTTTATAAATCAATTTGGTATTTAAATAAAACAGAAAAGCAGCTACTTAAACAAAAATAAAAGCAATTAGTGTATCATAAAAACTATATGAACCAGTGTGTTGAAGATAATATAAATGATATATTTAATATTTAAATTGCTATTTTAAAGAGAGAAACAAATATATCAAATTTTTTTAATAAAATATTACATTGCAAGACATATAACTAAAAATAATATTTTACCGTATATATAAAAACTACTACATTGATTGCAATATAAATAAGAATTTATATTTTAATTATATAAATAAAAAAAGTTAAATGAGTATAAAAAAATAAACATATAACTAGTATAGTCAATGTGCATCGTACTTGATAAAAAAGAATTAGAATATATAAAAGTGGGAATAGAGAGGGGAATATTGGGATCGCAAAATAAGGCATGCTTAAATTTAGTAATGAAAATTTGCTCTCTAATTTGATTGGTTAAAAAATAAAATTTTTTTAAGTAATATTTAAATTTGATTTGTTATACTAGTTTCGTGCTCAAAACTAAGTACTATTTGCTGTAAAATAATAAAAAATATTTATTCTTGTTTTAGTCAAAATTCTGTTGAAAAAAAATCTGCAAATTAAAATAATTTTATTTTATTTTTTTATATTTGTAGGGCGGAAAGCGTTGAGGTAACAAATTTACTAAATTTATGAATGGGTAAAATAACTTTAAGCCTTTAATTTCAGTGATTTAAAAATAAAAATAATTTCATTTCATTGGTCACATTAGCTTTTATTTAAATCTAAATTTTATTGTTTCTAAAAAAAAAAAAAAAAAGGAATAACAAAATAATTTCATTTCAGTTAGGCTCACATTAGCTCTTCTATTTAAATCTAAATTCTTATTTGTTTCTTAAAAAAAAAAAAAAAAAAAAAAAGCATTATTTTGTCTGGCTTAATAATTAAAACAAAAATTTATTTATTACAATAAGATTGTAATCTATAAATTTTAGGAAAAGGCTCATCTTCGCCTTCAACTTTGGTCCCCAAAATTCAATTGAATCCCATATTTTTAAACTTTGAAGCCATATTTCTCCATAAAAAAAAAAAAAAAAAGCTATATTTTGTTGGCTAATAATAAAACAAAAATTTATTATTACAAAAGATTGTAATTATAAATTTTAGGAAAAGGCTCATCTTCGCTTCAACTTGGTCCCCAAAATCAATTGACCCATATTTTAACTTTGAAGCCATATTTCTCCAATAGTTAGCGTATTACAGCCAAATAGTTCAAACCTTCAATTGGTCGGTGCGCGTGTAACATAATCAAAATCCAAAGAGAGTGAGAGAATAAATTCAAAGTTGAATACCTACACCAACGATTCAGTTACTGAATATCATCATTGGAAGGGAAAAATAAGCCAAGCTACCTCCTTTTGTAATATGAAGTTTACACATTCAGAGCAATGAAGGAGCGATGTCTTTCAATTGAGGTGAAAATCAAATTGGGGAAAAAATAAATTTTTCTTTGATATTCAGAAGCGAAACTAAAATTGACAGTGACTCTCTCATTCTTCTCGATATTGAAGGTAAGTAATTTCTTTGTCTTTGTTTCTTTGTTAACTAAAAGTAACTCAGAAAAACGTTTCTTTGTTTCTTTGTTAATCAAAAGAACTCAACAAAATTGTTTCTTTGTTTGTTTGTGGTGTAATCGACATTGTTTCATTGGATTTTTTTTTATGTCTCATGTACTATAGCCATATTTTATATTGTTATTAAATGTATATTATATTATTATAAAACAAAAGTGCTTGATTGTAACTGTTTTATATTTTATAAAGTTTTAATATTCATGGTTTTCGGATACCAGCTTGATTTTGTATGGCATTTTATTGATAGAATGGGAACTCCAAATCCAGTCAATGTCTTTATCAAGCTTCACCACAATGGTTCGATTATCATAAGAAACGAAAGGTGAGAATATATTGGTGGTGTGATTGATGATTTCAATATCAATGTATTGATTTCATCAATTTCAAATGACTTCGCAATTTGGTTAATCTGTGTGGTTACGGGGAGTAGCTTAGAGTTTGGTGAGAGTTTTGGTGGCGTCAATGAACCTGTTTCCATAAACATTGGGATTGAGGGTGAGAGTGTTGATGAATATGAGGAGATTGAGATATAGGCTGATCCAGGGTACCATTTAGGGAGAGAAAATGAAGAATTAAACATTGCTCGTGAAAAAGTTAAGAATTTTTATGCCAATAAAAGAAATGGCGAAAGTAGTGGTAAAGAAATGAGGTTGAGGAACCAATTCAAGATAATGTTACCCAAGAAGAACTAGCTGAAGAAAAACATCAAGAGGTATCCTCAGACGAAATCTTGGAGCATGATAATGATGAAGAATAGAATGGAGAAGGCAATGCATCTGATGATGAAGGCAGCATTGAAGAACTTAGCGGGGATGAAGATCATGGAAATGTCATAAGGAAAAGAAGAAAAAGTGTAAAATATAATCCTTCTGTCACCCTTCGTTCATTTATGGTTGGAATGGTTTTCAAAAATTCCACAGAATAAAGATGCTTTTACTAAGTATGCTATATCTATAGTTTTTTCATTATCTCCTTTGACTAAGGTCATCCCTCCTTTCTTAGGCACCACATGAATCGGGCTCACCCATTCACTATCAGAAATGGGATAGATAATCCCAACATCAAGAAGTTTGAGAATTTCTTTTTTCATAACCTCTTTCATATTACGATTTAACGTCCTCTGATGCTCAATGGATGGCTTATCATTATCCTTAAAAAGGATCCTATGCATACATATTGAGGGACTAATCCCTCTCAAGTCATGGATATTATATGCTATGATGCTTCTATACTCCCTTTAACACCCTTAGGGTCTTTTCTTCTTCTAACTCACTTAACGATGCACTAATGATGACTGGGTAAGTAGAGTTAGGGCTAAGGTGCACCTGAGGTTTGCTAATAGTTGCTTGAGTTCTACCTTACGGGCATCTTCTTCCTTAAGTGTCGAAGGAGGAGGTTTGTGTCTTTCGTCCTCTTGGCTTCTTAATTGTTAATCTTGTGCTTCTAACCGGGGGAGACCTTCTTTTGAGCCTCCAAATAGCTCTCCATTTCCAGATCCTCCGCTACAGTGCTTCACATCTTCCTTTGATCCCACTAGGCAAGTATGGAGGGGATCATTGGACTCCTCCTTTCTTGCTATCTCCTTAGCTAGCTCTTTGACCATATCCACCCTAAAACAGTAATGAACTTAGGCTGGTTGTTTCACCATTTTAAAGAGGTCAAAAACCAATTTCTCATCATCAACTTGGAGTGTGAGTTTTCCATTTTTCACGTCTATGAGGGCTCCAGCTGTAGCTAGAAAAGGCCTTCCCAATATGATAGGGATGTGCCAATCTTCATCCATATCAAGAACCACAAAGTCTACTAGTATGAAGAACTTGCCGACCTTTACTACTACATCCTCAACAACTCCCAAAGCATATTTTGTAGACCTGTCTGCTAATGGTAGAATCACCCGTCTTTGGTTTTAACTCCCCTATATCCAACTTCTTGAAGATAGAAAGCGGCATTAGGCTAACAATGGCTCCCAAGTCAGAAAGAGCTTTTTGAATCTCCATCTCTTCAATTTCACAAAGGATGAAGAATCTACCAGGATCTTTCAACTTAAGAGGGAGTTTGTTTAAGTCAAAGCACTGCACTCCTCTGTTAGGGCCACTGACAAGATGTCTTTAAGGAACTTTGCATAAGTAGGCATTTGGGAAATTATGTCAGTGAACGGGACATTCACATAGAGCTGTTTTAGAAGATTTAAGAACTTCCCAAATTGCTTCTCCAGCTGAGCTTGTTTCAAACGCTGTGGGAACGGATCTTTGTCCTTGAACTTCTCACTATCCACCTATGACGAATGACTAACTTCTAGTGTCTTAACCGTTTCATTTCCCTTTTTCTGATTCCAGGTTTTGGGAGGGTTTGTTCGTAGGTGTTACCACTTCTGAGAGTTAGCGCATTAGAGTTGTCTCTCGGCTTCTCAAGAGGTTGGCCAAGCAATTTTCCTTGGGTTTTTTAGTTTGAGGAACTAGCCCGTTGAGTCATTTGGGTCTCAAGCATCCTTTGGTGAGAGACCGGTTAGTCTATTTTAGCATTTAGATGGGTTATCATTTGAATCAACATGGCTATATATTGTTCAAGATTTGAATCAGCATTTGACTGAGGTGGCTGGGTGTTTGGAAATGGTTGGTTTGGCATTTGTGGCGATCTTGGTTGCTGGAGAGTAGAGTAATTCCATCAACATGCTGACTCCACATGCTGTAAAGGCCATGTTGACCTGCTGAATACTATCCAGCTTTTTAGCCAATGCGTCAAATTTGGCCGAGAGTAGGGTAATTCCATCAACCTCTAACATTTTTGAAGTCTTCTTTATTGGATTTGGCTCCCTTCCACATCTTTAACTGTTGTTGGCCATTTGCTCTACCAGTCGGTAGGCTTCATCAATCATTTTTTTTTACAAAGGATCCTCCAGCTGCTGCATGGAGAGGACTTTGTACACTTGGTAGAGCTCCCTTAAAGAATTGGTGGATGAGAAATTTCTTATCCCAGCCATGATGAGGGCATTATCTTTGCACGTCTCAGTACCTCTCCCAATCTAAAAAAGGCTTTCATCAGGTTTCTGCTTGAAGGTAACTATCTCAGTCTTCAGCTTCTGAGTCTTGCTAGGTGGGAAGTACTTCTTTAAAAATGCTGTATAGAGCTCATCCCATGTTCTGAAAGATCCCACCAACATCGAATGTAACCAAGCCTTGGCTCTATCACAGAGTGAAAGGTGAAGAGCCTTAGCTTCTTAGCCTCTTTAGACATTCCATTGATCCTCACTGTGTCAAAAATCTTATTGAAGGTTGCAATGTGCACATTTGGATCCTCATGTGACAACCCTCCAAACTGATTGTTTTGAAGCAAGTTGATTAATGATGTCTTTAGTTCATAGTTGTTTGCTGCAATTGCCGGCTGTACAATTGATGGATGTATCCCTTCAATGGTGGGGACAACCAAATCTACCAATATTTGATTTTCTCCCATTGGCGGTACTTCTTCAAAAAGCAGGAATCCCTTCCTCTCGCTCTTCCTCAAACACTTGTTGCTCGTCGTCAAAAGCTAAAGTTCCAACTTAGGGGTCCATAGAGATTCTCCTTGAAGGCCCTCGTTGATGTTTGGGTTTATCCTCATTAAGGCTCTTGCTGTTTTTTCAATTTCAAGATCCAAGGGAAGCAAGTCTCGACTTCTGGACCTGGGCATACAAGGTTAGGGAATTTGCAAGAAAGATATAGGAACGATTGGTAAGTAAAGATCAAAGCGAAACAAAAATCTAGATCAATATTATGGATTAATTACTAATATCAACACCAGAGCACCTATTCCCGACAACGGCGCCAAAAACTTGTTAGCAATTTCGCAAGTGTACGGATCGTGCAAGTAGTATAATAAAGATATCGTCTTCAGGGATAGGTGGAACTAAATATTAGTCCCGAATCAAAATGAATTGTCTAGAAATTAATCGAAGGTTTTAAGAAATCTAAACTATTTAAATGTAAAACAATCAAGTAAATGATCAAATTAAAAGAAACCAAGATAGATTTGTTGTAACCAATAAAGAAAGGCATTAGTGTTGGAATCAGCTTAACTAATCAACATTATGAATCTTAATTCCCTTTTTGATTTATTTATCTTAATTCCCTTTCTGATCTATTTAAGGAAGCATCTTGAAGGGGAAGGAATCCCTTAATATCTATGCCCTCTTCCAAGTGACATAAACATTCCGGAATCATAAAAACATCTAACTTTCGTGGTGTAATGATGATTCTAGCCCATTACTCTCTGTGATTCTCCATAGTTCCTCAAAGGAATAGCTTATTCCTAAGTCTATCTCCTAGGTTCATGTATGGGTAAGTCCAACAAGGGACTTCACCTTCCAGTCCTTCATCCTCTCATTTCATTTCATACAAACATAGAGCTCTAACATATTCATAGGCATTAACTACACACACACGAATCAAGAAAAACATCTAGTAAATAGAAATGAAAGAAATTAATTACATAATTGTTGCTCAAATGGGATTTGACCCAACACTAGCTAAAGGAACTACTCACTACACATAATCAAATTACAAATCAAAAGATTAAGAGGAATAGGTAGCTCAAGAACCATCCTTGTCAACAAAGAAACTAAGATTGAAATCTTGTTTCAATTGCTAACTCTAGAGTAGATCCTTGAGCTAATCCCCAATTAATCCTCTATAAATCAGAATTGATCCTGTAACATCCCTTCCCGGTCCACCCGTTAACCCGAATGAACCGAGCCGAGACACTACAATCTGGTTGAACTTATATCCTGTCATTTCATTGCTACTCTGGTAGATCCTAGCTATCCAATTATCTCTATAAATCGAATTGATCCTCATTACATCCCTTCACGGTTCTCCACCGTTACCGATGAGGGAGACACTACCATCTGGTTTAATTTATCTGTCTCATGCTGATATGTCCTGTATGTAATATGTTAAACACAACTCCCCATTACTTCAGAACTTTCTATCTCAATATCATCAAACAAAACACTTTATTATTATAGTCTATAACTGTATAACCTCATAGCATTTTATATCCAGCATTAATGCATTCCAGATCTATGACCTAAAATACCAAACTATAGTAAATATTTCATAGTCATCATTTCTCCAAATACTTACCACCATAATTACATTCTTATTTATTCCAATCCATAAGCTTAAACATAATGTATATATAATGCCTAATTTTATAACTCATAATTCTGAATATAACAACTCTCAATCTATGACAAATTAGTCACTTCTTAATTTTGATAGTACTTTAATCTTAAGTGCAACACGATCTTCAACTACAGCTTAATAAAAATCCGACGGCTGGTATAAAATTAGTGGTGTATAATTCTACTAACAGTGCAAGATGGAACTTACTTATACAATTGCATAAAAGCATTGAAATCAGAGATTCAGTAATTTCACATAATGCATCTTTATAGAAAGAATAATTTAAATTCACAATAAATAATTTTAGTTCTAATTATCTCATAACTCTTTAATGAACCTTTAATCAACATTATGATCCTCTCTCTCTCTGCTCGTCTCTCTCGTTTATGATGAAATCTAACATGTAAGTACATACAGTTATGTTATTGTCTTGCTTTCTTTTGCTGTTGACTTATGCACTTTTAGTCTCTATATTTTTCATAATTATGATGTATGGCTCCTTAAGATTCCACTCAAATAAACTTAGGCATATTAGCAGGATATACTTATCATGATCTTACATGATGTTCTTTTTGCCTGTATGATCTGCAACTTTGATTTAAAATTATGAATATCGCATACATTTAAAGAAACATATAAGCACATTTATGTAGAAATAAACTTACTCACTTATGAATGTAAGCAACAATATTCTGATACTTTCATTATCATCTTGCTGTCTGTACTGTCATGTATGCAATTGTAGTCAATATTTAACTGTATGCTTCCATAAGGTTATGTGAAACGAAGATAGAAAAACTGTATGAACTGGATAACTGTATGCTTCTTGTGATTGGCCTATTTCATTCCACTCAAGGCCTGTGCGACTACAAACTGTATTGCAGATCTTGCTATCTTGTAGCGACCTGCCTTATCTACGTGGGGTTTTACCTAACCTATGGAAGCTATTAATGAATGAAATTGATACAACAAAGCATAGTACTTGTTATAATTTTGGCATAGCTTTGTCATGTATATTTTCACTGTTGTGTCATAAATTTACTGTTTCATCTTTTCATAATTATGAAATTCCTGTTGCTGTAGGCACTTGCCAGCGGGCAACTTGTTATGTTGTTTACACACTTTGGCATGCTTGCAATTTTCTGTTGTATACATGTGCATTTCTCTTTTTGCTTCAAATGATTGAACATACAAGCTTGGAAGGATTTACAATTGAATTAATTCATAGCATCCATTCTTAGTGAGTTAACTCTTTTACTAATTTGCATGCTTGCATGATGTCTTTGATTGCATGTTACTATGTTTTTTTTTTAAAATGATTGAGATGAAGTTGAGCAGGAATACAATTGATAGAAAATATGGCCAAAGAGTATTCAAAACACAATTCTGCGTGCGCGCCATGCAATAAGTTCTCAGCAGATGCGAAGAAGTGAAATTGAGTCAGGTTTCCATGCTTCGCGAGCGCCAATGATGCGTGAGGCGCGGTCTTTTTTCCAGCCTGCGCCTAGTTTACTATTTTGGTCATTATTCTCTTAACAATCGTATTTGGTGATTCAAAAACCAGTTAAATAATTAAGGAACAAATAACATCTTATACCACTTCCTAATTCCATCATTAATGGGTTAATCAAGGTGAATTACTGTACTTTAGCAAAACTTGTTCAGAGCGAACCTCTAATATCTACTTCATTTATCATTCATCTTGCTTTTTCACCATTTTCAGTCATTTACTCACATTAACAACATATTTTCTCACTATCAACACACCACACAAATTCTATGCAAGGCAATTAATTAAACTAAAGATGATAGAACCTTCAAGTAACATACTGACTCTTCCTTTTTAGCTTCCTTTTTCTACTCTCTTTGGCTCACCTCTCCTTACATGGTTCTTGAATACTTTAAAATTCACCATATTCAATTATGAAATTTCAAGAAGTTTACTTTACTCGCAGTAGATAGAGTTGAATTAATTTGAATCCATTTTAATCTCACTACATATGATGGAATATGAAGAGAAAGTAGAGAGAAGTTTGAGATAAGGATGAAAAATGAAAATTGAAATTGAATCACGGGGTAGTCTCTAGTTATTTGATTTTTATGTGAAATTACAAGGGTCCTCAGTGTCAAATGGTAAAACTCAATCTCATTTATCTTAGTCAAGCAAGTCCTATTTTTGTTTCCTTCAAGTAAGTCCACTTCTTTTCCTTATTTCAATTACATCCCATTCTAGCCCACTCTAGACTCTAATGGATCGAACCGGGTTTTAAATCAGCCCGACTCGACTCTAAGCAACGACTCCATTCAATAGAAAAATGGGACGTTACAGATCCCTAACTATTCCTTGATTCTTTTCTTTTTTTTTTGTCACCCCCTTCATACTCTATAGCCCCCTTCTTTTATAGTGCAGAGAGAATCAACTAAGATCGTGTGTATTGACTTTTGAATAGATCTTTAACCTATTCTCATGCTTTCAGTTGCTAAACCGAGTAGAATATACAGCCAGCGCACCAACTGTGAAAGTTCAGGATTTGCCTTCCTCATGCTAAATTCACGGCCCGTCAAACAGGCGGTCAGGATCCTTATGGCCAGCTGACTGACCGTAGTTTTGCCTCTGTCTCTCGAATACATAAGGCACAACTGGTGTACCAGCCATGCATTTGGCTGTTTTAAAGGTTGCTCTTATCAGGGGATTGAAATGACTTGAATAACCCTAATTTTAGAGCATTTTTTTCCCTCAAAATTGTAGGACCTACACTATAAAATAAGGTAAATGCAAAAACACGTATAATCCATGCACAGAATAAATTTAGTTTATTAAAAATCCCAAAAATTGGATAAAACTGAAAAGAAAAAGGTATTAAAATGTATGCATAAAATGAAACATCATTATGGTAAATTTATAAACAATTAATTT